GTCCAGCAGCCGCTGCCACCCACATTTTGTGCATCCAAGCTGCCAGCAGCAGCAGAAGCCTCCAAGCCCCCTGGCCACCTCAGGGCTCCCTGCGAGGCAACGCCAGCAAGAGAGCCCTGCCACCGTCACCCACAGCAACAACTCTCTGGGCTTCTGACGTTTGAAAGGGACTTGAAAAGTTGATGTATAGATTTAGTCAGTTCTGGGAGGAAGCTCCAAAGAGCCCTTGCCAGGCACTGGGATTAGCAGAGCAAATTGCAATGCTTAGCGTGTCCCAGGGGAATTTAACCTCTAGGGATAGTGCTTACAGAAATGGCTAAAGGAAGTCTGGATTTCACAGTAGGGCTTCTTTAATTGGGTTTTGGGGGTTTTTTTTGTTGTTGGTTGGTTGGTTGTTTTGGGGGTGGTTTCTTTATTATTATTTATTTAAAGTTACACTTCATGCAGCCAAACCCACATTTTTGCCAGCTGCTGGTCTGGGGATGACTCCGAGGACAAAGTTCCAGCAGCAGGAGATGGTTTGCAGCAGGGACAGGGAGGGAGGCCAGAGGGTGGTGCTGCCAGCCAGGCCAGGGACAATAAGGGGAAGCAGCTCAATAAGCGGAAGTGCAAAGTACTGTCCCTGGGGAGGAACAACCCCAGGCACCAGAACATGCCGGGACCACCCAGCTGGGAAGCAGGTCTCCCGAACAGCCTCAGGGTCCTGGTGGACACGAGGTTGACCATGAACCAGCAACGTGCCCTTGCTACAAAGAAGAGGTATGGTGTCCTGGGCTGCACTGGATGAAGTGCTGCCAGCAGACTGAGGGAAGGGTTCCTTCCCCTCTGCTCAGCACTGGGGAGTACCTCTCAGTACCTGGAGTGCTGGGCTCCCCAGTCTGCGAGAGACATGGACATACTGGAGAGAGTCCAGCAAAGGGCCACCAAGATGAAGGGACCAGAGCATCTCTATTATGGGGAGAGGCTGGAAGAGCTGGGACTGGGGATCAGTGGGGATCTCATCCATGTGTACAAACCCCTGCAGGGAGGGTGCAGAGAGGACAGAGCCAGGCTCTTCCTAGTGGTGCCCAGTGCCAGGACCAGAGGCCATAGGCACACACCAACACACAGGAGGGTCCCTCTGGACATCAGGAAACACTTTTTCACTGTGACGGTGACCAAGCGCTGGCACAGGTTGCCCAGGGAGGTGGTGGAATCTCCATTCATGGGGATATCCAGAACCCATCTGGACATGGTCCTGGGCCACCTGCTCTAGGAGACTGGGCCAGATAAGCTCCAGAGGTTCCTGCCAGCCTCACCCATTCTGCACCACAGTGAGGAGGTGAGGGCAGAACAGGAGCATAGCTGGTGTCCCCCTCACCTCCTCCCCCAGCAGGGCAGGGACTGGCACAGGGAAGGGAAGGGCAGCCAAGTGCATGAGGATCCTGCCAGGCAGCTGGGGTGGTGCTTTTCAACAGGAACACGAAATGCCAGCCTGGGGGCACCTTCCCACAGGCTGTCCATCCCCTTCACCCCCAGGAATTATCTGCAGGGCTTTGCTCACTACCATCAGAATGCCCATTTCTGCCTCTTACAAAGCGTGGCACAAGACATCGTTACCTTTGATGCTTACCAATAAACTATAAGATTTAACACCTCCACATGCATGAATGTGGTGGGAGGCCTTCCTATGCAACCCCCCCTCTCCCCAGCATGGCCCCCCACGATGCAGCCCCCATCCCAGCTCTGCTCTGGGAACCATCCCCATGCAAGACACATTCAGCTGCAACGCCCTTCACAAGAGGGTTTTTCATCAGGCTGCAAACGTGGAGTTTCCTGGCAGCAGCCCCAACAGAGCACATCTTTGTCTGCCTCTGGCTGCCAGGAGCTCGTCCAGGGAAAAAGAAGTTTATTCAGGGGAAAAAGAAAAAAAAAAAAGGCAATTTCTCCACAGGCTGAACAGAGGCTGCACAGTCCAGCACAGAGCAACATTTTGCTCCCTGTCCGCCAGCTCCTGCTTATAAATGAGCACTTTATCCCCAAATACATCCCACCGAGTCGCCCTTTATGAAGGGCAGGGTCTGAGCTACCTTCACCCTGTGCAAGCACTTCTCCTCACTAATCGCAGCTCATTATCTTAGTGACTGCTTACTGGGGCTCATCATCAGGGCATTAAGCTCTTAATGAGAAAAAAGCCACCAGGCTCTCCCTGTTGGGATATGGCTTTTTTTTTGGCAGCTGCTGGGGCTGCTGGCACCCACAGCAGTCACCCATGGGGGTCTGGGTGGGCAACACCTCCAGCCTTCAGCATTTGCCTTCCCTGCCCATGGAGAGGGATGCCCGCTCAGGCAGGCATGAAAAGCAAGCGCTCTTGCTCAGGAGAGCCGAGTATAGCTGCACATAACTGGGTGTAATAATAATACATAATAATAATAAAATAATATAAATTTCAAGTATACAGAACAGCATGTAGGTTAGATTGTGCCCTTTTGGAGCAAGACAAGCAAACTGACCTCCAGAGCAATTCAACATAATAACCACCCCAGTAAGAAGGAAGGACGGAAAGACATTTGAAGAAGCCCATTTATTCTAAAAATACTTGACTTCTTTGTTTGAAATAATATTAGGTTTCACTTATTACTCTCTCACTTCCCCATTCCTCAAGCATTACAAAAATGCTTGAATGGAGCAACTTTGTGGACTTAAAGTCCAGTGTAAAACTTACAGTTAGTTTTCACTTACGCTGGCTTCCCTCTCTACCCCAAAACCCGGCTTCAAATCATCCTTTGCCCCAGCCTCTTCCCTCAGATGCTACGCAGTACTTATTTGCAAACTGGGGATAATGAACTACTTTTCAGTTTCACATTTTGAGTATCTCCCATTTTATGTAAGAAGGTTAAGTTACAGAAAAGTGCACTATAACAAACAGTAAAATGTTCTCCAAAGCAACCCAGTTGGCCCATAAGGTATTGTGACACTAAAGATCTTGCTTTTGGGAGCAGGAATCCTACCTTTTGCGCATCTCCGGTGAAGTAGGCAATGGTCAAGGTGGGAAGGATCATAAACAGTGCATTGTAATATAGCAGACCGTATTTTCCCAGCTCCTAGAAATAAGGAACATCTGTGTATTTAAGTTGGTTCCAAACAGGAGAATATAAAACCTTATTCATACTGCTACTGAAGACTGGACCTTGTGAGCTAAATCCACAGGGAATTCTCAAAGACAGAAGAGTTGGAAGTTGGGGTTTTTTTTTCAAATATATATATATATATATATATAGATATAGATATATATATAGCATGTGTGTATATAGATAGATAAAAGAGACTTGGGAGATGAGCTTGCAAAGGGCTTTATGGCCACCATCAATCAAAATGCTGTCGCAAGGGACTGCGGTTGTAATCGGCACTGGGGCACGGCTCTGGCTGGCACCATTTGGCAATGCCGGCACAGAGAGCAGCACAGCAGTATTGCCAAACCTCCCGGACAGGAGATTTTGGTAGAGGGATGGGGTAGCACCAGGCGAGCCTCCCCTCTTTACCCCCTCAGACACAAGTTGCTGCCAAACCAAGCACAACGCCCAGAACAAAGCTGAAGGTCAGCCTACCTTTGAATCCAGCTTCTGTTTCACATAGGCACCGTTTGCAGCTGTTAAGGCGTCATTAATAAGGATAAAAATATATCCTTCCAGATCGAATGCCAAGTCAGCACTGGGAAAGGAAAAAAAACATACGTTAAGGCTTTAAGCTGCACAGAGTGTAACACTTCCAAGATTTCTTTCACCTTCTGTTTAGCCAGTAAGTTGTCAGAAGTTAATCATGCGAGCAGGGACTGGGATTTGGGTTGGTGAAACATTCTTTCCTACTATAGAGCATGTCTGAGGGTTAAAAAAAAAAAAAAAGTGAGCATTCACTCTCTCTCTTCTTGGGACGTACCGTGGTACTTGATTCACCTTAGCTTTGCTGGCTGGCCCGCGCAGGGACCCTGCGGAGACAGAGGAGAGGGGACAGCAAACCAGGAGCTCACCTAGCAGCTACGAACGCACCGATGATCATAGCAAATACTGTCATCTGAATACTCCAAGAGAACTTCTTCCTGAAAACAGAGGCAGGAGGACACCGGCATCATCCACAGTTAAACCTTTACTGAAGTATTGCAAGCACTTTGGAGAGCAGCAGGGAGAAGCCTTTCCTCCCAGCACATACGGCAGGGGAGCAAGAAAACCTCAAGCAAACCAACCCATGCAAAAGCAGCAAGTAAAAGCAAGACATTTTTAGACAATTATTGCTGCCATTTAAAAAAAAAAAAAAAAGGCAACTTGGCACTGATGAGGTGCAAGCTTATGGGGTGCTACAACTCTGCCTATTGCAGCAAAGGATTCAGCTGGGCACAGGGCACTGCGTGGGCAACAGGAGCGGTGCTGGCCCTGGGGAGAGGGCTGTCAGCACACAGTGTGAGTGGTTTTGGGGTCTCTGCAAGCCCTTGCAGGGAGAAGAGCCATTACCAGGAGCAGACAGGCACAACACCCTCCGCTTCCAAAACTGCACTGCACAGCCAGGCTGCTGCAAGCAGAGACAGAGCACATCCATCTTCCCCCCCCCGCCCCGCCTGGCAGCTACACATCGCACCTCACCTCGCCCAGCTCCCTCCAGGCATGCAGAGAGGCAGCGGGGAAAAGGGCTGTGCAGATCAAGGCAAGTAACAGGCTGCTGCTCTCTGTATCCGCTTCCTCCACCCACCCTCGTTCCTAAAAACCAGCTTAGAGCCAAAACCCCTGACCACATGGATCTTGGACACACAAAGACTCACTGACGCTGCACGTCATTCCAACACCTTCAGACTTTTGTAACTCTAACTGGTATCTGTCACCGATAACCCTGGAGAGAAAGGGCTCAAAGACTCACTTGAGCAAGAATCCTTCGGCAAACATTGTAAACAGGATGGAAAACCTTCGCAGAACGGTGAACATCGGCAGGCTGCAAGAGGAAGGTTCATCAGGGTGAAAGGGCTTCCCCCTCTGCCTGGGCCTGCCAAAACGCAGCTCTGCGGCCACCCGAGAGGGCGCTGGCATAACGGCTCTGGAGAACTCAGCTATCGGCAAGCCCGCCAGCTTCCTCGTGGAAGCTCCCTTACTCCCACACCCAAAAGGGCATTGCTTATGTCAGACCTCGTCAGGGTGAGGGACCTCGGGGACAGCCTCAGACCCTCACCTACGGTGGGCAAGGGCCAGACCCGTGTCCCTCCCTACCTGCTGGCCAGGGGAAAGCATTCAGAAATGCACACGTGGCTTATTTTAGTGTGGGCAGAGGATGAATTATATCGCCCCGAGCAGCTCCTGCACAGGTCACCCACACCCTGCAAAGCCTTAGGGCCCGGCAGCAGCTCCCCACCAGATTCAGAAATGCACACGTGGCTTATTTTAGTGTGGGCAGAGGATGAATTATATCGCCCCGAGCAGCTCCTGCACAGGTCACCCACACCCTGCAAAGCCTTAGGGCCCGGCAGCAGCTCCCCACAAACACTGCCCCCTCCCCACCCCAAAGACCCCATTG